ATGCCTGACGAGCGGCAAGAACCGCGAAACCGGTCGTATGCTTCCAGGGAAATTTTGTCCAGTCATTCACATACTACTTATTATGATATATATATATGTCGGTTATCACAAACATTACCATCGCGTTTAGATCCCGCAGTTGTTTGTTCAATCATTCGATTGTAGAGGTGTATTTGGATGCGGCTGTTCGCTGGAACACTCACTGGTGTAGTGCTTTCACACCTAGCACAAGCGAATCAAATTGCGAGCTTAAAAACAACCCGAACATGCGCTTAAGTTCCTCAGGGAACACCACAATCTACACAGCTACCATCCCATGTAACTTTGACGATCGGAGGGATGAAGAAAATCATTTCGAAGTTTGATATAATCTCGCATGATGGAAGACACATTGATATAAGATTTTTCATTATGGGCCTATCACGAAACTGATGCTGACAGTAAAAGTTGTTAACTTTTTTAGTGAATGTAAGCTGAGCCAATAGAAAGAACACTAACGTTGCGATGACTAGGAATTTTATCTAAAAGGGATCAATGTGAATGCGAGTTTCTGTTGCTAGGAAAGTTATTAAAATGAGACAGGCGACCTGGACAACAAACAGCCTCAAATAAATGTTCCTTAAAAAGAATTCAGAAGTCAATTTTTGTTATTTCATTGCGCTACTATAAATCGTCCGTCCACATAATAAAAAGACACACGGGGCAGCAATTTGTAAATGACAACTCCTCAACGCAGTTTGATCGAGGAGCGTTTGAAATGTGTAATGGAGGGATAACTACTCACCAGGATCTTGAGCAGGTCGTTTGTTCCTGCTTTCCGACCTGTATATTCCCTTTTTGGATACTCTCGTACCAGGATTGGCATTCTTCTCAGGGATGTGACCTGCAGACCGGGAGTCCTTGGCACTAAGGATCCGCTGCACTTGCTCCAAAACACTCATTCCATCTGGTTGATTGGTAGATGTGACGGGCAATTCATCAGTTATTAAGTTTTCCGATTTCTGGATATTGTTTGGTGGGGAGTCGGCACCCACAATTTCTCGTTCTCCTGTGAACAGAGGATATGATTATTGAATGCGGTTCTACGTAACCCACCACACTATCACGCATTTTTCCTTTAATCACAAAGTGCTCTAATAGCACAAGGGTGCCTTTTTAAAAAAACTGATGGCATGTACAATAGAGGACATCGCCGTAAGGGTTTACTATAAACTCTGATTTATGGCTGAGAAGGATTCGTGTAAAATGGCTCTTCTTTGTCCCGTTTCATTACCTTCACTACTCTACATCTCGTTCAAACTCAGCTCAAGTGTCTCTTTCACTACTTTCTCCTGTAGTGTCACAGTTAAGCAAAATAAGAGGCGACCTGAGATTCGATTACTTAGGTTGATCTACGCCTAGAAGCTGGTTGATTGAGCTATTAGTGCTGGGGGAAATGACGATTTTCTGTTTTTGCCAACAAGTTTAAGTTATTTCTGTTACGGAAAACTTGAAACAGAAATTTTGATTAAGTTGTGATTCGAAGATAATACAGAAACCGAAATTTTCTATGCCACTGCTTTATAAACATATCAACTCTACAGGGATGATGGATTGCGGAATACCAGCATTGATATCGTCTGAACATGTTTCAATCACTACGCTAGAAGCAGCAGAGTTCCTCAAAACCCAGTTTGATCAGTTGTTTACTGCGACGACACAAAGCGTTACAGATTCCAAGCGTACAACCCTGTAAACCGTATCTGTCGCCGGTTAATATGGTTCTTGACGGTGAAATGCTAGGAGCAAGAATACTAACTTTGCGTAAGAATTCTTCTCCGAACGCGGAAAACATGAATCCTCAGCTTCATATCTAATTAGCTAATGATATCTCAGAGCTTCGGGCTATTTTTTTACCGAAGGATATCCAACAGGGCGGTAATCCCGCAGTCATGGAAGGAGGGGGTGATTTTACCCACTTATAAAGGGGGCACTCACAGTGATCCTGCAAACTACCGCCCTGTTACACATCTTCCGATACTGTCGAAAGTCAGAGAGGCTGTTGTGGCAGATCTGTTAGTGGTGTACCTGGAGAAGCATGAGACTGTATCTTCTGCTCAGCCCGGATTTCGGCACAAACGTTCGTGCACTACAAATCTACTCCTTGCACGGGATGAGTGAACAAAATCTGTCGATGCAGGCGAGCCATTAGGCAAAATTTATGTGGACTTCTCTAAAGCATTTAATCGAGTAAACCACCAAATTCTCCCGCGAAAACTTTACAATTACGGAGTAGGAAGTTTGGTTCTAGACTGGATCGGGGAGTTTCTGCGATAAAAAACCATATCATTTCGTGTTTGTGATTCATTATCTGAACCTTCACCGCTGTCCGAGAGGTTCCGCAAGGATACGTGCTGGGGCCTCGTCTTTTTCTTGCATTTATAAACGATCTAGCATGTCCATGGGCCAAATACACTATTATTTGCTGACGACGCTAAAATCTAGAGAACAGTAACAAATCCAGATTATTTGGCACTCCAAGAAACGATCAATGCAGATCATCTATGGTCGATCGCCAATGGCATTGAAATCAACGTTAGAAAATGCAGAGTTATTTCCGTGCAACATATGACCCTTTTTTCCTATGTTCTGGGGAACCAAATACTACCGCATGTCACTGACGAAAAGGATTTAGGAGTTACAGTAAAGGGAGACGGAGGATGTTCTACGCACTGAGCTAGAGGATCAACTATGGCTCTAAATCAAGTTTGACTACTTAAACATGCTTTCGGGCAGTTTGAAAAATGAACTATTCCAACGCTTGCTATCAGCGTCCATTCGGCCACACGCGGAATATACCGTTCAAGTATGAAATCCATGGTTGAACCGCGACGTGAGGGCTTTAGAACGTCCACAAAGGTTGGCAACAAAACTGGTAAAAGGTCCGTATAACAAGACATGCTCCAAAAGACTGCAAATATTGGGGCCTTATTCGTTTCAGTACCGTTGACCTCGGGGGGATCTAATCTTGGCATACCGCATACTGCATCAACCCAACCACCCTTACCGTCCTGTGTTGACTTTATCTCAAAATAACCATCTCAGGAGACATTCGTTGAAGTTGAGGACCAGAACAGTCACCTAGATTGCCGGCATCATTCGTTTGCAGTTAGTGTGCTGTGTATGGAGTTCTCTTTCATTCTGTGTTGTGTGCTCCTATAGTTGAATTATTCAAATCGCAGCTTGATAACGCATTGCAAAACCTAGCATTTTAACATCCATGAGTGATCATGTGTATGATTATTACTTTCTATTTGTAAAGTTATTCAAAGCATTCTGTAAATATCCTATGGGGCATGATGAGCGTTAGCTTAGTCGTCCACAATGAAACTTTGATTTTGACTTTCTACTTTCTTTGCACAAAGTACTTTAAACGTTCACAGGAAACTTCGATATCTTAATAAAGGTCTTTTTACTTCAACATTCTGTCAGAATTCATCACAATAAATGCGTTCTTCGGGTCAATGGACTCGATACAAATTCCAATTAATCGAGGTTGGTTGTTCGTGCATATACCAAGTTTCACCAGTGGTCGGTGGTAGTAGGCTTCTATTCTGTCTGCGAGATTTCGGGTTTGACCCCAAGTATAGGATGGATGTTTGTATCCTGTTAGAAAGTTTAAAAACAGCAGCGCAAAGATTTTCCGATTTTAGATTCATCTTAACTTTTTCCTTATATAGCAAATTTCATCTTATTATTCCAAGTGCTCTAGCCCTACCTTCTTTTGGATGTGTGATAATGGGTAAGCACTCGGATTAACCCGTAAGTATAAAACATTTTGATTTTCAAGAGATGGAGAAATAGATGAACAAAATACAAGAGACAGAGAGAGAATCGTCATTCATAATTGGTGCGCCACTCACTTCCGGATAATCTGACCTGACATTGTTTGAGGTAAACAAAAGTATAAGATAAACTGATACCACTGAAATGGTGCGATATATACTTACATACGTAATTATTATTGCATAATAAAAGTTACTTCCAAAGAAAAACGTCTCCAAAGACATTGGAATTTGTTGAATAGCATTTCAACAGGTTATTTCAAGAGTCAAGGACAGCTTTGTAAAAATCAAGAAATTCTATTATGTCTACGATTATACGATATTCTTATGAATGTTTTGACTTCAGAAATCCAATTAATGGAGTATTCAATCAACAGAACTTTGATCCCCTGTTTTGGTAGTAAATAATAATAATAATAATAATAATAATAATAATAATAATAATAAAAGTAGTAATGATAATAATACTAACAATGATAATAATAAGACAAACTGAAATGTGAGACGCGTAACCATAGGGATTCTCGATATATCATTGAAACGAAGGGCTTCTGGAAGCCTCAGTAAGGTCGGGGGTAGGTGTCTTGG